GGGGTTTTGGGGTGGGGGTTTTGGGGTGGGGGGTTGGGGTAGTGTCAGGGTTCTGGGGCGAGGTGAAGTTTTTGGGGTGGCATCAGGCTTTTTGTGTGGGCAGGTTTAGGGTGGCATCAGGGTTTTTGGGGTGCTCCTGGGAGACCCCCCCCGGGGCCCTCCTGTTGGGCCCAGTTCCTGGGACACGTCTCTGCAGGTCCCTTCCCTTGGCAGCGCTGTGGGATGGTTTGGGTTGGGATGGGGTGGGATGGGGTGGGACGGGATGGAATGGGTTGGGGGGAGTCTCCAGAGCCGGGGTGGGGTCGGGGGTTGGCAGTGCCCCCCAGAGCGGTGCTGAGCCCCCACCCTGTGCCCCCACAGCAACATCGCCGAGGCGCTGGTGAGCAAAGGCCTGGCCACGGTGCTGCGGTACCGGCAGGACGACGACCAGCGCTCGGCCCACTACGACGAGCTGCTGGCGGCCGAGGCGCGGTGAGTGGGAGGGCAGAGCTGCTCCCTGTCCCCCCAAGGGGTCCCCCCGTCCCCTCCTGGCCGTGTCCTGTCTGTCTATCTGTCCCCAGCCATTCCTGTCCCAGGGGCAGGTGTTCCAGGTGTTCCAGGTGTTCCAGGTGTTCCCGGCTCCCTGTGGAGTGATCCCACCGCTCAGCCCCCCTTGTGTCCTGGTACCCCCCCCTCCCCTCCCAGCCATGTCCCTGTCCACCTGTCTGTCCCCAGCCTTTCCTGGCCCAGGTGTTCCAGGTGTTCCAGGTGTTCCCAGCTCCCTGGGGAGTGATCCCACTGCTCAGCCCCCCCCGGGTCCCGGTGCCCCCCCATCTCCGCAGGGATCGCTGTTCCCGACCCTCGCCGCTCCACAGGGACGATCCCGGTGCTGGGAGCCCCCACATCCACGCGTGTCCCCGTGTCCCTGTCCCTCAGCCCGTCCTCCTGGATGGCACACGGGAATGCCAATGGATGCCCTTCCCTCTCCGGCTCGGCTGGATCCGGCGGCTCCGGAGGTGGCACCGGCACAGCCGAGCCCAGCGGGATGTGGGATCTCAGCTCCTCTTTGGCAGCAGATCCCGGCACGATGCCGAGAGCCGGGAGGAGCAGCTTGGAGGGGGCTGAGGCGCGTTCCCGGGCGAGACTCTCGCTTCTGAGGGAAAGGGCGGATCAATCCGGATAAACGGGCTCTCCCGCTCCCGTTCCCCCCGGCTCCGTGTCCGCGGGGTGGGCGGCCGGCAGATTGCTCGGAGGCTCATTCCTGGGATGTGCCTTTTGGGAGGCCTGGCAGGAAATCAGCATCTCGGAGCACTGCGGGGTGGGCGAGATTCCAGTCAGGCACTGGGATGCCCGGGCTGGGATGTGGCACATGGAACCTGGAGCAGCACTCCAGGTGCTGGGGGGCAGATCCTGGATGTGCCCACCATGGAGGTGCTGGATGTTCCCGCTCACTCCCGGTGAGTGGCGGAGGTGGCTTGTCCGTGCCGGAATCCCTGGCACATCCCGACTCCGTGGTTGTGCTGGCACTGGGCAGAAGAGCCGGCGGCTCCAGGGTGATGCCAGGGATGGAGGGAATGGGAGATTTGGGATGAGATCTGCAAGGCACAGATCTCCCAGTGGAGGGGGGCTCGGAGCAGTTGGGGTGATCCGTTCGACATTCCCGCTCTTCAGCAGAGCCCGGAGTCACATCCCAGACTGCCCTGCCTGTGCCTGTGCCATGGGCTCCTCCAGCCTCCCGGCACAATCCGGCCTTTCCCAGCCTCCCATGCCAAACCCTGTGGCAGGAGATCCAGGTCTGGCATCAGGTCCAGGACTGGCAACAAGTCCAGGTCTGGCATCGGGTCCAGGCCCAGCACCGGCTCCACCATCCCACTGGGTTTTCCAATCCCTTCAGTGCCCTCCAGGTATTCCCTCATTCAGCCTCCTCATTGCCTCCGTGTTATCCCGGGATGACCTTATTGCCATGACTGGGACTATCCAGCTGCAGTGCCCGGGCTCTCCCGGTGGGCACAGGGGTGACTCCGGCCCTTCCCGCCGCAGCAGGCGCTGACTCCCGCTGCTCCCTGTTTTCCAGGGCTATCAAGAACGGGAAGGGGCTGCACAGCAAGAAGGAGGTGCCGATTCACCGGGTGGCCGACATCTCCGGGGTAAGGAGGTGCAGGAATTCTGCTGGCACCGCTCTGCCAGGGGAGCCGGGATAAAATGGGAGAAAACCCCACCCCGAGCCTTTGATTTTGGGAACTGCTGGGTTTTTTCCCCCTTTCTTCCTTGGATAAATAAACTGGGAGTTGCCCCATGGAGCTCCGTGGCCTGGGAACCGGGTGATTGGACCCAGCACCGGAATGCCGGTGGGGATCGGGGATCCCCCAGCTCTGCCGAGGGAATATGGGGACCCTGACACCCCCCAGCAGCCCTGAGCGCTCGTTAAGTTTTCCTTAATGAATATTAATAAGGAATTATCCAGCCATTTGCTGCTGGGATGTTGTGGGGGGATCCTGGGAAAGGGGAGTCCCGGGATGCTCCGTTAGGGATGGTACGGGATCCATCCTGCCCGTGCCAGGCAGCCACTCCCGTGGGGTGTTCTGGGCCGTGTCCTGGGGTGCAGAGCCCATCCCAACCGGGAAAACTCGGATCCGTGCCCACGTCCTGCATCCCGGCTGGCACAGGGCACTGAGGAGCCCCCGCTGCTCCCACCCCGTCGGACACTGCGGTGCCGGAGGGTCCCCACGCTCCGAGGGAGTGCCCACATTCCCGGGCTGAGCCCCTTTCCCTCCCTGCAGGACACGCAGAAGGCGAAGCAGTTCCTGCCGTTCCTGCAGCGCGCCGGCCGCTCCGAGGCCGTGGTGGAGTACGTGTTCAGCGGCTCCCGCCTGAAGCTCTTCCTGCCCAAGGAGACCTGTCTCATCACATTCCTGCTCGCAGGTGGGCCCCCGGGAACACCGGGAACACCGGGATCCGCGGGACACCCCCGCTTATGGCGCCGGAGCTGCCCACGGGCTGCGCTGGGAGAGGGGGAGTCGAGCTTGGAGTTGGGAAGGGTGTTCTCCCAAAAAACTCAGGAGCAGGTGGGGAACCCCAAACCAGGAGGCAGGTGGGAAACCCCAAATGTGGGAGAAGGTGGGAAACTCCGGGATGGGAATGGGGATGCGGATGAGGAAGAACATGAGGAGGATGGTGATAGGGATTGGGATAAGGATGGGGATGAGGACAGGGATGGGATGAAGATGGGATAAGAATGAGGACAAGGATGAGGTTTAGGGTGAGGATGAAGATGATCAGAATGAGAACGGGGATGAGGATGGGGATGAGGATTGAGAATGAGGATGGAATGAGAATGGGGATGAGGATAAGCATCCCAAATCCCAGGCATTTCCACGTGCTGCCTCCTCAGCAGGCGGAGGGTGACCGGGATGGGGGTTCCCGTTGCCGGTGTGAGCGGCAGCTCCGTGAGCTCCTTGATCCTCCAGATCCCTGGCTGGGGGGTGGGGGGCGGCTCATCCCTGGCTCCCGTTTCCATGGCAATAACCGGGTTTGCCGGATGACCCTGAGCAGGGATCGTTCGCAACTCGGTTATGAAAAATTCAGTCGGTGCTTGAAGGGATCGGATCCGGGCATCAAACACTGGGAAAGGCAGAGCGGCCACTCCCACTGAGGGAATGCTGATCCCGGGGGAGCAGGGATGGAACTGGGGAGTCTTTGCCCATCCCTTCGTCCCCAGACCTGGGGACTGTGTCCTGTCCCTGTTCCCCTCAGATAACTGGGATGGGGTTTGGGAAGGGGGAGGCTCCGTACCTGCTCCCAGGGATGCTCCCAGTCCAACCAGTGACCTGGGATGGCCAGGAATGATGCTCCCAGTCAGAAAGTAATTTGGGGTGACCCAGGATTGTGCCACGGGATCCCCCTCTCCCCCCAGCCCCTCCCATCCCGGAGCCTTTTCCCATTGCATCCAGCCTGTGCTCCGGATGTCAGCAGATCCCAGAGCACCCCAGACGTGGCCAGCCCAGCCAGGGACCCCCAGTCCCCACGTCCCCCTCCAGGGCCCAAACACTGGGAGCAATGAGGACATTCCATCCCCGGATCCGGCTGGAGCGTGAGCATTCCCAGCCCTATCCCAAGCTGACTCCTGCCATGTGGAGCGTGTCCTAAACCTGTCCTTCTCCGTGTGCTCTTGCCTATAAATATCCTGGAGTCTGATTTTATCCATTGTCAAAGCCAGTGGGAAATGCTGGGAAAATGCAGCTCCCCCTTCCTGGCCACGGAGACATGGGAATTGTCAGGAGTGATGAACCTCCCACGTGCTTGGGAGGAGGAACTGGGATCGACTGAAATCTTTCTGGATTCCAGAGGTTGGCTCCACTCTGGAATCCCAGTGCCCACCACGGTGCCCCTGGGATCTGTAGGGATTGGGGTGGGGGGCTGGCACCTCTCTGGAGTCCCAGTGCCCACGGGATCCATAGGGAATGGGATGGGGGGCTGGCACCTCTCCGGTGCCGCAGTCCCTGCTCCGTGATCCTGCTCCTTGGGGGGTTGTTATTCCATGAGATTCCCTGCTCCACAGGGGTCCCTGTTCCACGGGTCTCCTCTTTGGATCTCCATGATCCTGCTCCATGGAGATCCCTGCTCCCCCCTGCTCTGTTCCAGCGGGGATTAATCCCCCAAATAATTCCATCCCATAAAACCCCACGGGCAGTGACAGCATCCAGCGGCCACGATCCCAGCAGGACCTTCCGGCTTTTGTTTTCCCTGGTTTTGATTGGTTCTCTCCCCGGTGCCATTCCCAACCCTCCTCTGCCAAGCCAGGAATAGGATAAATATCCGCCTTTTATCAACGCCTGCCTTTTTTATGGATATCAAATGCAAATGAGCACCATAAAGAGAAGCCAAGTCCCTTAAAATGTGACTCCAGGGATGCTCCCGAGGGAGCTCATCCCGGCTTTCCAGCTAAAATAGATCCGTCGGAGCACTATAAATATGTGCAAATAGAGGAGCTGCTTTAATCCCAAATTCCTCTCTCCTGGCAAAACTCTGGAGCCTGACGCCTTCCCGGGGCGGGGGCTGGGAGCGGCAGAATTCCCGAGGGATGAGGGGGAATGTTGGGGTGCGGGGCCACCTGGCTCCAGGGTGTCCCGAAATTCCCCAAGGAGGCACTGGAGCTGTGGAAGTGTGAGGTGGGGATGGGAATCCAGAGTTTTTCCATCTGGGTGTTCCCTCCATGGGGCTGGTCCAGCGCTGTGTCCACGGCCCCACTCCCGCGGTTCCTGGGTGTGCCCTCCCTCCTGCTCACCCCCATTGCTCCCAAAATCCATAAATCCCCTGGCAGATCGATCCCTGGCATTCCACCCCGGCACAGCCAGTCCTCGCCCGGAGCCATCCCATATCCCTGCGCTTTTCCAGGCACAGCAAGCTGGGGGAAGCTGTTTAAATCCCAGGAATTTGGGCTGGAAAGGTTCCTGCTCCAAGAGAGCTTCCCTAGGGAGATTTATTTTCTGTATTCCCACTGATGGCCAGGGAGGCCCAGCCCCTCCCAGCATCCCAGGGCAGGATCCTGCAGGCTGTTGTGGGATACCTGGGAATGCTGTGGGATACCTGGGAATGCTGTGGGATGCCCCAGGGTGCTGCGGGATGCTGCAGGAGATCCCAGGGATACTGTGGGATACCCTGGGATGCTGCAGGACACCCCAGGATGTGCAGGATGCCATGGGACACCCAGGGACACTCTGCAATGTCTGTGGGATGCCCTGGGATGCCCTGGGATGTCCTGGGATGCTGTGGAATTCCTGCCCCCATCCCTCCATCCCTCCGAGGATGGTTCCAGGGTCGGAGCAGCCCCCAGAGCTGCCCCTTCCATCCCCCAGCTCCGGCTCAGCAGGATTGTGCTGGAATTCTGTGGGAAGCCCAGGGGAGCGCGGTGGCTGCAGCACTTCCAGCCGCATCCCTCATTAATCCGTCACGGCTTCCCGGGAAGAGCAGCGGAGCCGCGGTTCGGGATTAGTTGCTATTTTTAAAGTGCTGGAGAACTTTTCCGGGTGCCAAACATCCCCTTCCCCTCTCCCTGCAGCATTCCCAGGGGGATGAGCACGTTCAGCCCATCCTTTTGAGCTTTGCCTTTTCCAGAATCTTCCCTTGGGTGGGTTTGGGAAGCGCCAGGGCCGGGAGAGGATCCGAAGTGAGATCCCAGCATGGAGGAGCCGGCAGCCGGAAAACGCTGCTCTCAGCTCGTGTGGTTTAAGGATTCCGGTGCTTCCTCAGCTCTTTCCTTATTATTTTGAGGGAAAAAATTCCAGTGTGGTGCATAAACCTTCAGCAGCTCCCAGTCCCCTCCACGGAGAAGGAGGAGAAGAAGGAGGAAGGGCCGCTCCGGGTCCTCATTCCCACTCCCAGCACGGTGCTGGGAGATGCTCCTTGTTGGAGAAACATGGGATCAGTGCTGGGATCGGAATCAGTGCTGGGGTTGGGATTAGTGCCGGAGTTGGGATCAGTGCTGGGGTTGGGATCAGTGGGCAGGGACAGGGCTGGAAGCTGCCTGGGAAGCTCCTTCTGGATTTCCTGGAAATGTTTGGCTTCCCTTGGAGGCAGCATAGCCTGGGAATGGGGATGGAGATGGGATGGGGGCAGGATGGGGGTACAACAGGGATAGGGATGAGGATGGGTGTGCAGTAGGGGTGGGAATGGGACAGGGATGGGAATGGGACGGGGATGGCGTGATGGTGGGGACGGGGACAGGGATGGGGGCCAGGATGGGGAAATGACAAAGGACAGGGATGAGGATGTGATAGGGATGGGGTCAGGGATGAGGATGGGTATCCAACAGAGCTGGGGATGGGGAGATGACAGGGCCAGGGATGAGGATGGGATGGTCTCAGTGACACAGGGACATCGTGGGCTCCGGGTGCTCCCGGATGCTCCGGGAACAGATCCATGTCCTTGTGCCTCCTGGGGGGATGGTGACACTGCTGTGGCCCTGGGGGTGTGACACCTTGTCACTGCCTTCCCGAAGGATCACGGCTCCGGCATGGAGCTGTAATTCCCGGCACTTCATTAATTATGCAAATTATGTAAATCGTAATTAATAATGCAGGACTTCCCTGTTTTCCAGGGCAGGGGGGTATCCCAGGGGTATCCTGAGGGCAGTGGGAACCTGAGTCAGGGAGAGAGGTTGCGAATGTGGGGGTCTGGATATGTCCCCACGTCCCCATCCCTGCTGGTCCTGAGCTATCCCATCCTCTCCCATGGCTGTGCCACCACTGGACCCTCCCGGAGCTTCCCACATCCCCCCTGACTCCGATGCCCCATTCCCTGCCCAGCCCATTCCCCGGGGGCCGTTCCCAGGGGGGCAGGGGGGTGACCTCGGCCTCACCCTCCTCCTCCTCTTCCTCCCCCAGGCATCGAGTGCCCGCGGGGTGCCCGGAACCTGCCGGGGCTGGCACAGGAGGGGGAGCCCTTCAGCGAGGAGGCCACGCTGTTCACCAAGGAGCTCGTGCTGCAGCGGGAGGTACGGCGGGACCGGCGGGATCCGCGGGATCCGTGGGATTGGGGGCATCCGGGGGCAGGTCCCAGAGGTACCGAGAGATCCTGGGAGTACTGAGAGTGTCCTGTGGGATGTGGAGAGATCCCGGGTGATTCTGAGAGATCCAGGATGACCCTGAGAGATCCAGGGTGTCATCAACAGTTCCCAGGGGACACTGAGAGATCCCAGGCAATACTGAGAGATCCCAGGTGATCCTGGGAGATCCTGGGTGATCCTGAGAGATCCTGGGTGATTCTGAGAGATCCAGGGTGTCACCAACAGATCCCAGGGGACACTGGGAGATCCCAGGCAATACTGAAAGTGTCCCAGGTGATCCCGAGAGATCCCAGGTGATTCCAAGGGATACCAGGTGATTCCAAGAGATCCCAGATGCCTTGGGCAGATGGAGGAGGGATGTAGGATGGATGAAAGGTGGGGGCAGGAGCGATGCAGGAGGGATGCAGGATGTGTGCAGGAGGGATGCAGGAGGGATGCAGGATGTGTACAGGATAGATGCATCAGGGATGCAGGATGTGTGCAGGAGGGATGCAGGAGGGATGCAGGATGTGTACAGGATAGATGCATCAGGGATGCAGGATGTGTACAGGATGGATGCAGGAGGGATGCAGGATGTGTGCAGGAGGGATGCAGGAGGGATGCAGGATGTGTACAGGATAGATGCATCAGGGATGCAGGATGTGTACAGGATG